GTCTGGCTTTGTTATTCTGGTTTTACAAATGAGGAGAAGGGGACAGAGAAGCCCATGAATCTCCAGCTTGAGTTAACTGCATCTGAAGGTACAGCTGCTCAGTGCTTTAGCCAGCTTGGCTACAAGTCACCTTCTCCAGGCCATTCCATAAATGTGTGGTTCACTTATGAGTAGGGCTTACAGCAGTCTCATGCCTTGACAACAGCCATGTAGTATTTTGTTCACATCCCTTTCTGGGGACCTGGACAACCTGTTATAGAATGATCCCAAAATCTTGAGGCAAAACCAGCACTGCTGGTTCTGACTTTCCCTCTGTTCAGACTGAAGTAAGGTGAGGAGGATCTGAAGTGCAGGGAGATCTCAGTCAGCCTGCAATCTCAATCAGTATGGAATTGGTGGTCCTTCAGCAGCTCTGGCTCTGCCTGAGGCTGGCTTGACCTCTGGAAGAACCTAGAATCAAAGTAGGGACATGACTTCTTTGCCATCTCTCCCCAGGCTCTGGGGTGCAGCTCTGTAGTGCCCCAGCGTTTGCTGTCTTGCAGGTCTCACTGTTGTTCTTGTCCTGCCTCAGTTCTGGTTGTTCTTTGGTTTTTCCATGCTTTAACTCTCCTTGGTACTCTCTGGGGATCAGCTTAGGTCTGGTTTTCAAACACAGGTGCAATAGCTAGTATATTCCCTCCCCAGAATGGTGGTGTTTCAGTCACAGGCGAGGTAATACCTGTTTGACTTTAATCCGTGATCCAGGCTGCGATGGTAAATTTGTGAAATGTTGGGGACCTTCTGGAGGGAGGTGATCTGTAAATGTACATCTGTACATCATCAGGATAATGAGTTCAGCTGAGGGAGAATGAAATAAAAATGACTTGTTGTTGTGCATTTTATAGTCTCTCTAAATTTTGTCCTCTTGCTGATGAGTGCTTCCTTCTGTTCTCTCTGCAGGTCTCCAGGTGGTTTTAAATTCAATCATCAAGGCCATGGTCCCTTTGTTGCATATTGCCCTGCTGGTGCTGTTTGTCATTATTATCTATGCCATCATTGGACTGGAGTTATTCATGGGGAAGATGCATAAGACCTGCTACCATGTGCAAGGGGGACTTATAGGTAAGGAGAACACTATATCATACACAGCAGGGCTTTCTGAGGGAGGCTCTCCCCTTAGATAAGGGGGCCCAGGAGACAGGTGGCTGTTGTACCTGCTCTGTACCTGTTTGGGATTTCAAAGTGATGATTCCTTTGTTCTGCTTTTTGGATATGAATCACTTTTGATGTGGAGAGACTGTCTCTAACGGTGAGAATTTAGCTTGCTCATCTTGGGAACTCTGTTGTTGGCCCATCTGTAAAGGCTACAAGCAAAACTGTCAATTCCTGCATTGGAGTTTTTAATGTGGACCTTTGGCACTACCAGCCAGCCTGAGTTCTTTCACAAATCTTTCAGAGGCTCAGGCAACACTAGAGTAGTGATGATTTTCACCAGACTGAGCTGCAAATGAGATGGCATCACAGAGATTAGTAACTCTTATATTTTATTATTAATTTTGTAGACATATACATCTCCATTTTACACCAGTATCATTGTAAAGGAATATTGAATTGAGACCCAGAAGCCTTTTTTTTCCCCTTTTACCACAGTTTGTGACCACGGTTATAAGCACAGCTAATAAGAAAGCAAAAGTGTATTAATGGGAAGAAACTTTTTGCACCAAATCCATCAGGAAAGAACTTTCAAATTATCTACAGAAAGAAATAATTCAGTTCTTTTGTCACTCACTTACCGAACCATCTGCTGTTTTTCATTTGTTTTATCCAACTTGAGCAGTAGTGATTCCCAATGCGGTAGTGGGTGCCAATGTCTAGGACCCAGTTCAGCTCCTAACCAAGAAAATATTGTACAGCAGGAAGTTGTTTCAGTAGTTCTATATTTTCTACTTTTATAACATTGGCAGATTTCATTTTCATAATGAATTATCAATCTGGTTTACAACTTTCAAGTGTTCATATCTTTCTCCCTGCTGTCTGTAATTATTATATATTACAGCATCTAATTCTAATATTGCTATTTCTGATGTTCTTTAATGATCATAACTTTTGGAAAATTACATTTTTTGCCATATAAGATGAGAAACAAACATAATTACCTGCTCCCCTACACGTGCATACTTGCAGCTGTTATAAATGCAGCAATAGGCACTGAAATCCATATATTAAAAAAAATCCTATTGCACAACTTTTTGTTCTTATAAAAATGTTTTCTGTAGCATTTTGCATATACCAAAGCATCTATACAGGCTTGTTGTACGGGTTCTCAGATCTTTGGAAACACCTGTACAGACTAAGGGGTGGATAATCAAGCAGTAGAGTCTTATAGACTCTAGAGTAGAGTAGAACCTTATAGACTCCACTTCTGAGTGCCGCTGGGCTATTGATAAAATGCCAGACAGCTTCTAAACTCCAAAAAAGCAGAGCTCCAGAGACTCTCTGCTGTAATTTAGCAGTGGCCCAGCACCATATCAAGCTATCTCCAAAGCACTGAAGCCTGTCTGCTGCAGGGGTTCAGCCTCCTTCAACAGTGCCAGACAGTGCTGCAGTTCTTCTGAGGTTAACCCAGATGCCAGGTGACTGGGGTATGAAGACACTGGTCGTAACATATATAGAATAGAACATATAGAAAACATATAGAATGGTTAGGATTGGAAGGGACCTTAAAGATCATCTAGTTCCAACCCCCCTGCCAGCAGCAGGGACACCTTCCACTAGACCAGGTTGCTCAAAGCCTCATCCAACCTGGCCCTGAACACTTCCAAACATGCAGCCTAAAGAAATGTAATAGACTCAAGCTAATGTTCATTTTGAAAGATGTTTCAGTTTTGACTGTAAAATTTGACAGCTTGGCCATTATTTGTACAAAAAGAAAGTAAAGCACAACAGAACATTCCTCTGCCTCTTAAAATTAATACGGTTCCTTGCGTATTCCTCGAGAAATCTGTCAAATTCACTGCAAAATACATTTGTTAAAGTCAGATACCCTTCACTCACTCATCAAACAACAATCAGTTCCCTTCACCTGTGTTTTCTCCCTTCTCTCCTTTAAGATACACCTGCAGAAGATGATCCGTCTCCCTGTGCCCCGCAGTCGGCGCACGGGCGGCAGTGTCAGAACGGCACGGAGTGCAAGGCGGGCTGGGAGGGACCCAAGCACGGCATTACCAACTTTGACAATTTTGCTTTTGCCATGCTGACGGTGTTTCAGTGCATCACCATGGAGGGCTGGACAGATGTACTGTACTGGGTACGTATCCGAAAATGATCAGTTGAAAGGCCTGCTCGTTGTGCTCTGGCTATGTTAAAACTTTGGGGCTTTAGCTTTCTTGCTTGTTCTGTATAGAGAAGGCATGGTTGCTAGCATGGAGCTTTAATTAACTCAGAATATTAATGGATGAAATGGGAGGGTTTATCTGATGCAGTCAAATCAAATGTAAATGTTAACTTCCCATTGATATTTTAATCTCAAAAGCTGACACGTGGTTTATTGGTTTGAAGATTTGCAATGTACCTTGGTTGAGCAGGATGTCATGTAAAGACCCTCTCTGCAGGAGTGAAATATCTCGTACATCTCCAGGCTACTGATGTAGAAGTATTTGTGCCAGATAACTCTGTGCTCTACCCATGGCATTCATGTTACAAAGGCTCTGTGCTGATCAGCTCGTAGGTTTTGTAAGACCTCACAAATCCCTTTTCATAGAATCATAGAATGGTTTGGGTTGGAAGGGACCTTAAAGATCACCCAGTTCCAGCCCCCCTGCCATCAGCAGGGACACCTTCCACTAGACCAGGTTGCTCAACGCCTCATCCAGCCTGGCCTTACCCCTGATTATGACTTTTATCATAAGTGTTAGCATAAATTCTTCTAACTCTGATATTGGTATCGATCATGGTTATGTGTTTAGCCGAAGCATAATATAATCTTTAATCTAAACACAGTTTCATCTTTACCTTTATCCTAGTTCTGGAAGTTTCAATAGCTTTAGTTTCTACATTGTAATTTCTAATGTGTTGGGAAATTCAGTGGCAATACAATTATACTGGAGGAGTTAAAATCAGATTTAGCCTTCACCTGTAAACCAGATATAAACATGTTTCTCACCTCAATTCTCACCATCGACTTTTGCAGCAATATATTATGGTCCACAAATTTAATTCACACACAGCTCAGTCCTATCTGTATAAGGCTAACCTGACTCTAACTAACTTTGAAGACTGGCATATGATGACACCTGGTTTTCCAAGATGGTAGGATGTGCTGCAATCCATGATGGAATTTAACTCAAGAAGAACCCAAAGCACACAAAAGGATAATCTGGACTGAGGCAGCTTGCGCTGTTAATCAACATCAGCTTCTCTCTTAAACATAAGCCTGAAGCTGCCTTCTACTCACGAGTTAGAGTTTACAAGATTTGCCTTTGAAGATTTACCTTATCTGCAATAGATAGTCTCTGTATGGAACAGCTAGCAGTTGTCTGTCTCTCTCCTCATAAATTTAAATTAGAGTTGTGACTCTAGCTTCCTTCTAATGCCTGAAATAAAGGGCAGGGATCAAACCACAAGGGGAGTCTGGGTCTCAGAGCACAAAAATTGCCTTTACTTGAAAAGAGAGTATAGATTAATAAAATAATGAAGAAGAACAGAAGTTAAGTCAGAAAAGGAACTGGGTAAAACTACTCCATGGCTCAACTATGGCTATAGATAATATACCTGTCTTTTTATCACATTTAGCTCACATTCCTCCAGTCCTTATGTGATTGAGAGGATTTCTAGGTAGTTCAGGGAAAACAGGAGACAGTAAAAGATATCAGAAATAAACATGAAAATAGTTTTGGCAGTGAATACCATTTAATATTGTGAAACCTGTCCACAAGTTATCATCATTTTCTCCAAAGGCACGTGTTATGAGAGACCCTACCAATCCCCACACTTTTGGGCCCATGCATCATTTGCATGACTGGATATGAATCATTCAGAACTCGGTTATCAGTTATCTAATAACAGGAGCCAAAAGCATATACTCACTGCTAAATGATTTTCTACCATGACTGCTGCAGATGGTCTCATTTTTTTATGGCGTCCTTGCAGCAATCTGGATTTTAGCTGTTGGCTTTTGTTTGGTATTTGGCCAACTTTTTTCACTGATTTCCTGAGCTGTTCTTTTTTTTTTTTTTTTTTAGAGACAGTATGGGGAACTGAGACCTGAAATTAATACAGCTTGATGGTCATTATTTTTAGGGGCATCCATACAGTTAGGCTTTTAGATTATGGCTTGGATAGAATGCTTGCTTTGGAAACAAAAGAAATATTTGTTATCATCAGTTCCCAGTTATTCTTAGACAAGACTACAAAAGATAAGAGGTAGCACTGCAGATAACATTTCAGTAATAGAGGAGGAGGAAATTTAATTTGTGAAGAAAAAAACCATATCACCTATGTTTAAAGGCCATGAGATACAAAGTTTAAGCAAATATCTGAACATCTGAGCTGACAGACATACTCAGTTAAACTGCTATAAATAATTCAAAGAGTACTGTTGACCCATATGACTTTTTGCCTCTTTGTGTCATATTGGCAAAGTGGAGAGAAGTTGGTTCTGGTCAGTGTTTGCCATATGGTAAAGAAGGTGTTGGAGATGTGATGCATATTTCCTTCTGCAGAGAGGTCTGTGCTACTCTGGGGGCAGGTGCGAATTGGGCAATTGCTACAGGGCACACTTAGGAGAAGCGTTATGGCTTTAATATTTACGCGTAGAAACGGTCTCTAAACATCCATACTGTAACTTCTTATGTGGGTATTTCAAACTGTATCTCTTATGGTTTATACAGTAATCTTCATAGTCCATGGAAAGGTCATTCTAGCTTAAACCAGTCAGATCAAAAGGAAGAGTACTTCTGAATAGTGAAGAACAGAAAAGATGTAACATTTCCATTTCTGAGTGTAAAGGAAGAATTTTAATAAGTGGAGTAAAATATAATTATATATTTTAAGCTTAGCATGAGCCACTGTTTCTTTAGTGAAGTCAGACTTACACATAACTCCTTGGCCTTTGCCTTTTCAGCCAAGGAAAATTGGACTGTTGTAGGCAACCCATTGGTGCTGCATCTCCACAGGAGTGCAGAGATAGAAGGTTATTCTCTTCTCAGGTAGATAACACTTTGAAAGATCTCCTGGATCCACAGTGAGATCATGGAAATTAAAATATGCTTTATTAGGAAATAAACCTGCCCAGTTAATTAAATTAGAAATCCAGACTTAAAGGTCCCCTCTCTCCAGAGGTAGAGAGTTGGTTGTCCATTTTACACTTAGGAGAAGTAAAGGGAAGTGTAGGTGAAAGAACAGAATAAGAAAATGTTGTCTGCAAATCAGACAATGATGCAGCTGAAAATCTTAGGTGATGATTTTCAGAGGTCATTCCTTAACGATGTAAGCTAATGGGTTTATATTACAAGTGCTGAGCATTCAAAGTTCAAGCCAACTGTTAAGTTCTTAGCTCCTCTGCAGTTCAGGGTAGATACTGAGGTTTGAATCTGGGGTCCTGCTGAGGTCAATGGCAAAATTCCAATTAAATTCAAAAGGCCAGGATCTCACTTTCTATTTTGTAAAATCTTGATCATGCTGTTGAGATTTTTCACATGCAATCATGTACAACACAAGGACTTACAGATGCCTAATCAGGGCCTTGGTGTCTGTTGTGATAATCTTCCAAGGACATGTATGTGGATGTAGGGAGTTCTCTTTGCTCCCTCCTTAAATCTGAAAATAAGAGTCTGACCTAAAACTCAGCAGAACATCAGATAAAGCTCTGGGCTGAATTACTTGGCTGGAAATGTTTAAACAATGAAGCAGTTCCCTTGGTTTGAATTTTTCTGTAAGTGCTTTTCACTTCTATCTTCCTATTTTCTCAAAAATACCTTTTGAATGGTACCTAGATCTCTGCGTTCCTCGCAGTGGGAATGGAGGGACCTTAGCACATTTCAGCATGTTGCCCTGAAAAATATACTAGACATTTCATGAAACCTATGTCTGTCTTGTGCCACACTTTGCAAGGTTAAACCTGCATGTTTCAAAGTCAGAAAGCTGTATGCCCTTCTACAAGCCCTGGACTCCTAATCCACTTAGTAGCTCTTCAAATTTTACCTTCACTTTCCTGCTTCCTTCATCATCCTTCTCCTCATGCTTCCTCTAGCTTTTCACCTCTGTAATGAAACCTATCTCCTCTCTCAGGGAGTACTATTTCCCAGCCTGTGATCCACATCCTCACAAAAAGATAATCAGAGACAGGAAAGCAATCAACTTTTATTCCCTAGAAGGACTTGACATCAATAAGATCAATACACTTTCCGATCTCCTCTCTCACTCAGCAGATAAGACTTGTGACTCAATTGGCTTCTTTTGAAATATGAAAGAAAAATGTTAAGGAAAACACTTTGACACTGCTATAGTGGCAGCTAAGATAATTACTGACAAGGAGTCAAAATTTTCATGTAAATTAACTATATTGGCCAGGATTAAAATCTGTGCAAAACAACCTCATTGACTCTTTGTTGAAGAATTGATCTTTGTCGAAGGGAGCGTTAAGTGTTCATAGGAGGACAACTCCTGTGCTGCCTCAATCTTACAAGGTTTACTTTGTCCCAGTGTAACTGCCCCGTGGCTTTGTCTCACGTGCAGTCAATTCATAGAATTGTTTGAGTAGACAGGCACCTTTTATATCACATCATAATTTTTTTTTTCCTATGTGTTGTGGAAAGATTGAGTTTGTTATTCTCAGAACTCACCCTAAGGTGTGATCAGCCAGCTTGCTCCCTTGTGCAGGCACCAAAGCCCATTTCTGAAGACCTCTGAGTCTTGGAAAATTTCAGCAGCAGATGCAAATCTAAATGTTACAAATTGAGTCATTTGGTATTTTGTAATCAGTCTCTGCTGCAGTCTGTTACTTCTTATTGTCTTGTTGACTAAGGAGGAGAATTAATCCCTGTCCAGTTTGTAACGTCTTGTTTAAGTATTTGTAGGCATTTGTTGTCTTCCCTTAATCTTTTTCTAATCTGAGCAGATTCTGTTCTTTCAGCCTTCTCTCATGGGGCTTCTTTTTAATTATTTTTAATCAGTTTGTTACTGTCCTTCAAGGGGAAGCTTCACTTCTTAGTTAAATACAATTCAGACAGTGCCCTGTCTCTAGAAGGGCTTTCATCTTTGTGTGAAATGTGCTTTCTGCAGCTGAAGTCCTGTGACACTGCATGCAAA